TCGAAATAATGAGTTAACTCCAGAGCTCAACCGCAGCAGGCCCAGGCTGACACTGAACACTCCAAAAACACGTAACAATCAGTCTCGAAATTGAGCCAAAACAATTTTGATGTATCTATCTATGTATATATGTATGTATGTATGTACATTGTACATATGTTCTGTAAAAGTCAAAGAACTTTTAAGCTGCTTTTTTTTGTCGAGCAAAACTTTTACCAGCACATTTTTTTCTATTACTTTTCGGCATGTCATTCGCAATCTAAATGAGAGATGATTTGTCCGTTTGTCCAATTTGTGGGTTGGCTGGTCAATTCTACTGCTGGCGGCCATTCAAGAGGCAAACCGAGAACATGTGAGAACAATTGAGTCGTCGGCTAACAGTTATAACACGCACCTTCGCTGTGTGTGGGTAGACAAATGAGAGATGGTCGGTCGTCGGATAATGAGCATGTCGAATACACAAGGGCACTTCAAGGGAATCCACTCATGGAATTAGCACAAAGTTTTTGTGTGCGAAAACTCACTTAAATGTCGGTACTCTATATGTATTTTATTTGTGTTATATTCCAGAGTTTGCTCTTAATGGAGAGTAAAGGTGGTTGAATAAGCTGTAAAGTATCCTCTAGATACAAATTGCAGATTAATAAACTTTTAGTTGCTGTTTTATAACGCTCCAACAAAAGGCACGGTCTTTGAATGACGTTCATACGCCCTAATACTTTCCCATAAATGAACGGACAAAATCCTTTCAAATTCTACAAACAGTGATCATTCCCCACGAACGATTTGGAATGTATTCTGCGATTAAATCCAAGCAAAATCAATGTTAAGTACAATTAACACAAGAAAATTAACTGTCTGGAAAATTGCCACTCAAATACCACCACATACACTCGAAAAGTACTGCCTAAAACTATCTTGGGTATACAATTGTTCTTTAAAGTAATGAATAACCAGAAGAAAGCACAAAAAGAAACCTTCAAAAAAAGTTGCGCCAAGCAATTTGCAATGATAAATTATACACCACGAAAACAATAAGACAGAACGAACCAAAATTAGAAAATTTCTACCCCAGAGCCCCCACGAAAAGCAGCAAGATTTAATCAACTTAAGTAAGTAGTCAAAGTGAGAGCTCTCGGATTCGCAGTTAAACAAATATCTTGTGTGGGTGGGTGGGTCGGTGCTCCACTATCGGTGCTACCTTAATAAGAAAAGAGAAAAAACACAGCCGTTGTAGCTGTCACTCAAAACGCCCCGGCACACCGCACAGCAGTCTGGTCTGAGCGAGAGAATTCTTATGAATAATCACACAGAAGCAGCAGCAGGCAGCAGGCAGCAGTCAGCAGCCAGCATTAGAGGTAGAAATTTAATGTAAAAACTTGCCAAAAAGAACAAAAAGCAAAACCCGACAAGAAAAACATATTTGAAATACGCCAAAAAAAAACACTAGAAAGAGAATGAAAAGTAAAATGTTGTAGGTAGCCATCTTAATAACCCAGAGACACAGAAAGAAGGGTTGAAAGATTGAGTTTTTCATTTCCATTTCTCGAACATTTAGCATAAAATGGTGAATATTCCAAGCATCTCAAGTAGGAGGATGGGAAGGTCGCTCAAGTTACCTGCCTGGCGACTGACCGACCGAGCGACCACGTATGTCAGCTTATTTCGAGATAAAGATACAAATTACATGGCCAGAACAGGCAGGGGGGGAATAGGAGACAGGAGACCCGGTTGTGTTCGCCTCGATTAATATGCAAGCAGTGCAGCAAATAAAATATATATAATTGCTGTCTGATGCTTATTTATCCGTCTGTCTGCTGCATAAACAAGTGACTCGAATGATCGACTTGGGGCTTGACTAATTAAGGCGGAACCTCTGAGCCGTACGTTTTCATTCAATGACAGCTCCACAACAGTGCGGTACGGCAGTATAAGAGAGAGAGAGCTACAATAGTGGGAAGTAGCAGCAGTCAGCTGTTCAACGTTGACTAATTACAGCTCTGTGAATTTTATTTGATTTCTTTTTGAGTATTCTCCTCCTTCATCACATATTTCAGAACATCTTATTCCATCGTAAACTGCACAGAGATCCAAAAATCCCCAAACTATGCATAGGATATGGCCCAAAAATAATTAAGTTAACAATTTGGCTAATTACGACTGCACTAAATGCATTTGAGCCAACGCACAATTAACCCAGAAGAAACCCAGAGGCAAGAGGCAAGAAGCATGAACCGAGAACCGAGAGACATAAGAGGCACAAGAGCCAAGAATTCAAATATTTTTCAATGCCTCATATTACAGTGCGGACTGGCTACAGCAGAGAAACAACACGAACCAAAGACGCTGCCAAATGAGAAGGCAAGGAAAATATTTGCTTGCTAAGAAAAAAAAAAAACAAAAAAACAAAACAGAAAAAATGAACTTAAATGAAATGAGATTTTGGTTTTGTTTCTGTTTCTGTTTCTATAGAGACTCTGGTCGCACTGTTTCCTCCTCCTAGTGCTATAGCTTCTGGTCTGCTATTTGTTTGGCCTGTCACTGTGTCAAATTCGGAAATGTGGCGACGATGTCTGTTTATTTAGCACGTCTTTGGGTCTAGCGTCTCCCACGAATGCCACATCCCTCCATCTCATCTGCCAGCAACGGCATCGGAGCATCGGAGCATTATCATCATCTCTAGTGCAAGTTCAGTCAGCTCATGCCCAGGAGCACTGTTTTCTTAGTATCTGGCTGCGCATACTCTTTTTTCGAAGGGTAGTGCAATTTCAGGAGCATTTTTATAGGGTTTTGAAATTGATTTATCAGGGGTTAATATCTTAGGGCAGTACAGCCCTATCTATATTTTTTTATACTAATTAATCGTTTTATTTTAGTGTTTTAGTTTTCTTAATAAAGCTTAGTTTTCCCAACATTATAAAAAGCGAAATTATCTTTTTTTAGCGCATACAAAATTCGTCTCCCGATATACATTATTTCATGCATTATTTTCCATCTTATTTTTTGGTATTTATAGATGAAGCATGCCTTTGTTGTCATTTATTACTGTCACTTTAAATCCAATCAACGCTTAGTCAATGTTCGAGAGAGAGCATCGATAAGAGATTTTCCTTTTGGCTTCTTCTTGTGTATTTTTTCGTTTCCGCAACGAGTTGCTTTTTTTTTTGGTTCTGCGTCAAGTGTCATAATAATAATTTTATTTTTTTGTGTGTTTACGAATCTTTTTTTGGCCATTTTGTGGTTTAAAAATAAATGGTTGCTATTCCCAGTAATACGATATTTGACGCGGCAGACAAAGCCTTATGTAATTTTTGAATGAACAATTGTTTGGATGTGAAGGCGAGGTCTTTAGAGGTCTTTTGGGTTTCAATTTGAATGTCAAGTCAGTGGATTTTATAGATGATAGATGCATAATTATGGGAATAGAAACAATTCAATTCATTCAATCCATCAATATCTTCCGAAGTCTCCACACCAAGAAGAGAAAAAATTCACAAAACAAATATCAATCGATTCCTAAGCGAAAACAAAAGGCGGCTTGCTGCCTCAGATAGTGCTTTTGGTGTATCCATCACATTTTTTTTATAGTTTAATTTAAAGCCTAACCAAAGTATGGCACATGCCAAAAGAAAAAATTATGAAACAATAAATGAAATGCTAATTAGTAAGGCAAACGCCAAAGAAGCGAACTAAATAAACAAAAAAAAAAAAAAACTTAAACTCTTAATTGCCTGGCGCCAGACGGTCGTTATTTAATATCAAAAGTAAAGCAAGTTCCAATGTAGATTTCGAATAGTCCCAAATATGGTTTTTACTCTCACTTTTCAGGCCTACAAAAAAATGTTTAATGGGACCGTCACTTGAAGCAAATGCAGGGCATTAATAATCTTACGGCAAGCCTGCAATCATTTCTTATAAAGGCCTATAATTTTACAGCACTTGGGGCTTGTAATGGGGGAAATATTATGCAAATTTCATGTTGTAGAATGTCAATTTATATTAATTTTTGAGTGTATATTCCGGATAAGAATAAATTATTGTGCAGTGTTTATAGATTCTTTTGATATCTCGCTTATTTATGTTTGCTTTCATCAAGCTTCGCTCAGTCGTCATATTCCTTGTAAAATATGCTCTTTGAAATCCATAATCAACCTCATTCCCACACCGGACCAGTCGGGTTTTTCCCCGCCCAGAACTGAGTATTAATGCGACAACTTATAAAGTAAACCTCGCCCTCAATCTCATCTAATAAATGAATGCAATTTACGAACAGCAACTTATAAAAATTATAGGTTAGCGCACATTACCACCCCCTCCGCCCAGACACTGACTAAAACTGAAACTGAGAACTCCGCTGAGTGGCTGATGAAAAATTTAAAACGCAGCCAAAGAGCAAAACAATTTTCATAAATATGCCACTGAGGAAAAGCTGGGCGAGAAGAAGGCGCCGGACGAGACGGCCAAAGGCCCATGAAAAACAAATGGCAACACCTCAGCTTAGTCGGAACTTTGAAGTGTGGGATAAGTGATACTCTCTAAAGGATTGCATGAGTGGTTTAAAAAAAAAAAAATATAATACGAAGAAGAAGGGTTAGAAATCATTTTAATTTCCTCAATTTTTCTGATAACTGATAACAAATAAATTTTCGTACCTACCAAATTATAAATTATATACATACATATATCCTTCACTCTTTTCTTATTAGAAAAATCCATACTTTTATTTCCCTGTTACATACGGACTCTTGAATTAAACATACCCTTGTACTCCCCGTGTTTATACCATGGGTATATGAAACCTCAAAGCGCATTAACGCCTTTAATGGCCTTGAGACGGACATCAACAACATGGAGAGAGAGTTCTGTTCTTATTTTTATGCTATCCTCAGCCGCCCACCGCTCCACACTCTTTATGCTTTAAAAAGGAGAACCAGAGCCAGAGAGAGAGAGAGAGTGTGGAGCGTGTGGAGATAAAGAGTGGAAAAGGACTGCCAACTTACCTTAAATTTGGCACAGCTGCCGCTGCTGCTGCTGCCGCCTGAAGTGGCGGCGGCACATTGTATGGAAATGGCAACTTGGCCGCAACCGCTGGATTCTCAAAGAGCATTCTTCTGCCGGCGCTGCTGCTGATGCTGCTACTGCTGCTTGGGAGGTGGTGGTGCTGCTGCTGCTGCTGATGCTGGTACTGAATGGTACTCCCAGTGGTGGTGGATGTGCCGCTGGGGGGGTTGATGCTGGAGTTGGCGCTGCCAAAAGCGACGTTGTAGTAAATTTTGCTGCCTTTTATTTATCCCAACGCACGCCGAAAGAAAATTCACTTGAATCGTAATCACTTTTTGGGTTGATTTTCGTTCTTATCTCTCTCTCTTCTTTCTCTCACTTTTTTTTTGGTTGTCTCAACTATTTTTTCAAGAATTTTTACAACTTTTTGTTTTATTTATGCGCACTGGTTTCTGCTTGTGTTTAAGTTATGCTCATTTTTAAAACACCAACAATTTAAGCAATCTGTGTTTCTCTTTTGAAGAATTGCTGTCAACGTTTGGTTATTTCTATAAGATAAAAATTTAAAAATATGTATTAATATAAATTATTATTAACATATTTAAAGATGTATTTGATTTATTTGTTGATGTATTTTTAATATAACTTAATGTTCAATGGTATTGTTTTTCATTTTAATTTGCTTATTGATTCTCGTTTTAATTTTCCCGTCTCTGTTTTTTTATTATAACACATTAAAAATAATAATTAATACCATTAAACTAATTTTAAGGTATGTTCAAGATATCTCATGTAGTTTTTTCGATTTGCATATTATTTAGCGGAATTATTTTGGGAAAAATCTCCGAATACCCAGAACTGTTCCCATAAAAATCATTAACATTTCTTTCTTTTCAATTAAATTTTCTTATTATTATTTTGGTATTCTTTTGTTTGCTGTTTGTTGCTACCCTTATTCTTAGTCTTTGTGTTTTTGTTGTTATTTCTGTTTGGTTTTCATTTTGTTTCTGCTTTTATGCTTTTACTTTCATTCTTCTTTGCTTTGCTTTTGCCTTTGCTTTTGTTTTTTTGGTTCTTGTTGTTTTGTCCCGCTCTCAATGTTGAATGGTTTTGGCATTGATTGCCGGCTTTTTCAACACATACACACACGCACAGGCTCACACACACACACATGTAATCACACACACACACAGACCGCGTCTGATGCTGCTTCTCTTTTGCTCTTCTGCTCTTAAAATGGTGATAAAATGTTGTTGCTTTTGCCATTCTGACGCTGCTCGCATTGCGGTTTCATCAAAATTCACATACAGCTTTTAATTAAACTCGTATGCCGCAGCCAAAGAAAACAAACAACAAAAAAAAACACTTGAGTTCTGATAGTTTTTATGGGGGAATACTAGTATCGGTCTGCCCGGTTTTTGTATTAATTTTTTATAAATTAAATCGATTTGCTCGTTGCCGAAAAAAGCACACGCATTAAACACACACACACATACACACACGCATACACATAAGACGCACAACAACAGAGTTTGCGACGTCATTGAATTCGCCGCAGTTGTATGGATATGCTGTAGGTGTGTGTGTGTACAGCTTCTCCACCCAGTTGCTGTGTGTCGTGTTGAGTCACCCACTCTCACTCACACTTACATTTATGCTTACAAGCTCAAAAGAAACGACGCGATTACGTTAGTCTGCACCACGACGAAACGATGACGAGAAAGGAATGTGCACGGTACAAGGAAGTTTTTTGGAATGAAAGGAAAGGAGCGGCTGAGCGGCGGATGTCAGGCAAAGAGCGACCACTTCGCCGCAAGGTCTGTGCGCATACAGGGTGAGACTAGAGAAACATCCCACTCACTGCTGCCGCCTCTCTGTGTTTGTCGTGGGACACAACGGCAAACGGAAGTGCCTTACCCTGCATAAATAGACCTTGCCTTGCGCAGAGTTGTTTCTGGCGCTCTCTCTCTCTCTTTCTGACAGGACAGCTTTGCAGTTTGCAGGGTAGTAGTGGGGGTCTGTTGAGTGCCTTCCTTGTATGCAACATGCGGCCATGTGCATCGTGAGTCAGTTAATGACGAAGGCACAGACACCCTACCGCCCACTTTCCCCCCGTTGTCTTCGCCTGTAATCATTTCCGATGTGCAGTTTCATGCAGTTTCCCCCAAAACAATAGGCCTATTGCCCATGCCCATGCCCAGAGCCCCAGACCAACCGACCGACCGACCAACCGACCGTCTTTATAGCGCGCTTTGTTCTCCCCATTTACTTAGCTTTCTTTGTTTATCTTATTTTCTCTGGTCTGCTTTACTCAGCTCTACTCTGCTCGTATTTCTTTTAAAGCACAGCTCAAAGCTGTCGCTGTTTGTTGATTTTGATTGCTTTTAAAGCAACAACGAATACACTGAGAAACTACAGAGTATTGTTTTAAGACGAGGAACCAATCGTCAGAGTACCTCTGAAGCGAGAACAACTTTTTATCAGTATTTCTTAGAATACTATCTTGATTCGATATTGTAGGGTGTTTCATTACCAGAACAGAACATATAGTTCAAGGCAAAGAAATACATTAATTTTTTCCGATTAATTATATATTTCAAACTCTTGTGAGTTTTTCCTCAGTGCAGTGTATTGTTTAACTCACTCAAGTGGAAGGATTGTCTGCACTTCTCTGATTTATGAGAAATTTACAAATCATTTAGTTGCCAAGTGCAAAACAATCTTCATCTCTGGGTTTATCTGATTAAGAATTTTTAATTTAATTGTCACATATGAATAATCGTTTATATTCGCTTGCATTTCCAAAGGTTTTTCAACTTTTGATTTTGGGGCACGAGCAATTCAAGTCGTTCTAGTTTCCATGAATTGTGGCTTTAATTTTCGCTGAAATAAAATTATACTCCAGCATTCCTTTACTATTGCTTCCCCCTTCTATGCGATGCCCGGAATAGTAAATATCCAATTACCAAAAACATCATTTTCTCAGAACAATTTTTTTTTGTTTCCTTCAAGTGTTTCGTTTGCTTATCGCACATTGGGGTGGAGGAGCAGAAAACAACAAACATTGTAATTGATAAAACCGAACCAGACCGAGTCTCCAAGTACAAATAATCATCAGCCAACCGCAAAAGTTTTTTGTTTTTTGTTTCGCCTTTGGAATATTGAAAGTTGTTCTGTTGGTTTGGTTACTAATGCGGTCTGAGTTATAGGGTTTCCTTTTGTCACATTTGACATTGTTTCATCATAATTTATTTCATTTCATTTGAATGTATGATATTTCATATGGGTATATTTTATTCCTACATTTATCATTTATCGATTATGTGGGGTGGGTGTTTTTCCATTCAAATAATATATAAATCAACTTTTATTAATATTTTCTCTTATATTTTCTTTGTTCATTTATATAACTTTTAGTTTATTTTCAATTTTGTTAGTCATCTCAAATCAAATTCGAATTATGAGATTTGAGATTCATTAGTTAAACATATCATTAGCTAATAAACCATGAAAGTTGATATTAAATTTGATAATACATTTTGTTCGTGTATAATCTTAATAGCCATGAAATATTAATTTCGCCATGGTAGTTTCCAGTTCATTGAAACACAGCTGTAGTGCAGTTCCTACAGATCTGGGATATATAGCATGCATATGTGTGTGTGTTCCCCCATACACGAGTAGAACCATTTCTGTACGGGCACGGTACGAGTATTTTTAATTAATTTGCATGCCTCACAAAGCGCTGCAATAACGAGCTGTTTTGTGGATGCGGTTTGCTAATTTTGTTAAACAATTTAACACGTAATTTAATTCATTTGGTTCTTTCGGTCATCAACAAATAAAATACACACTATTCTCATTCTATAGGAAAATACATATTACAGTAAAATTTGTCGTACTTTTTTATTTTGTTGAATGCACGACAAACAAAAATTTGATTTTGAATTTTGTTTGTTTTCAATTTGCCGCCAAACGTGGGCGGGCCGGGGATACGTTTTTTTCGGATTTGAATCTGGTGTGGAGTCCCAGTCAAGACCCACAAAACTCCGGCTTTTAACACAACAACACTCGGTACGGTACGGGAAAACGACGCAGACGACGACGACGAGAGCACGAAATGTTCCGCACGAACGTGAATGGACTTGCTTCTGTTTTAACGGTCAACGGCGGTCTGACACTTTCAAAAGCCCCAACGAAACGCGACGCTTTGCTCGTCTCGTCTCTCTACATTCATTTCTCTCCCGTTTACTTTTGTTTCTTATGCTCGCAATCGTTAGCGGCGAATATAAAAACAAAAGCAAAACAGAGAGAGGAGAGTCAGAAGAGCGCAGAGAAGCGGCGAAATCGCTCAAAAAATGCCGTTTTCGTTGAGATAGAGCGCCACATTGAAGTGTTACTGTTGTCATCCCACTCGCACTCATGTGTTCGCCTTACTTCCGGTGGAGTTGGTTGTTCTTGCTGCTGCTTCGCTTGTGGTGTGGATAAAAATGAGCATCGCTTGGAGAGAATTTATAACGGCCGATAAAGGGTGCTAGAAATTCGTCGGATAAACTTATCTGATTTGGATATTAATATACAGTTCGTTAACAATTTTTAATTATTATTAAATAATTAATATTAATTAATTATTAAATATTTAAAAAAAAATTCTTTCTTTTTAATTCCACCGACTTATTAAAAATGAATTATTTTATGCAAAAAATTTGTAAAAGGCAAACCTTTTGTAGTCTCCAGACAAGTAAAGTGACTGCTGGAATGGAATTTCAGTAATCGGACAATATTGGGTTTTATTTTGCGCATAACCCATTCAATATCCTATCCCAAAACCAATCCAGCTGCATTGACGCTTCTGAAAATGTAATCTATTAAAATAATTATACAGGTACACACATATGTATGTATGCAAAATCTCTGTTAAGGTTAAATATTAATTTGGGTATTCAAAATTATGTAAAATCCCATACAATTTCCGTTGAAAATTCTACGCTGAGCTTTGACGCCGCCTGTTGCACCCACATCAATAACCATTTACACACCCTCGCAAATCAAAATTTACACAAATTAATTTTGTGCAAAATCGCAGACTGAAAAGGAGGCTGGCACGGGGGCTTGGGTGTCTTAAAAAAAACAAAAACAACAGCGACGACAACAACGGCTTATTAGAAGGCCTAAAAACTTCAAAGGCAGCCAGACGCAGACTCTCCTCAGCAGAGCCGTCGACGCGGCGCGTTGTCACATATTTATACCCTGTAAGCGTGGTGAGAAATGGTATGTTATATAAACTAATTTATTATTTAAATTTGCTACAAATAACGTGACATTTTCATGGATTTTTGAAACTTAATAAAGCTTGTGTCTGCTGTTTGTAAAGTAGTGGAAAGTTTTGAGTTTTAGTCATCTGAAAA